GATGGGGACCAAGGAAAAGTTTCCTTGAAGGCAGGCAAAGCTCCAAGTTTGGCGGATACTGTATATCCTATCCTACTATCCGCAGGGACCAAGGAAAAGATTCGCCAAGGAAACGTTCACGACTCTTCCTCATTTTACTTCAAACAATCAAGGACTAAGATAGCCGATAATCTTTCTCACCGTGCGAATGAGGCTTTCCGTCGACAGCCACACGCTCCCATGGGCGCTCCACGATAGTCACCGTGGCCTCTGAAACCTGCCCCGAAACGGCAGCACGAAGAGATCCATAAGAATCCCATCTTGACCCCTCAGAAGCAAACAACCAACCCGGATACAACAAGTCTCGAGTCGCTATACCTGAGGGTACAACGACGTGAAATGCCTTCCAAGAATCACCGCGAATTCCTCCATGGACACCACTTCCGTGCACTCTTTCGCCTTGACATACACCTGCACAAGCGAAGCCGTACCAAATCAGTAGCCCAGAAGCTGCCAGAGCCGCTTTGGGGCGGCGGAGGAAGGAGGAAGCAAAGAAAGACTGGTGGAACACTGGAACGTACGGTGTTCTTGATGGAATCTGTGGCGACGATGGCGGAGTTGTCGCTGGAGGTGTAGGAGGGGAGGCAGTCGGAGACGATGCTGACGGCGACGTTCCACTCGACGATGACGTCGCCCCCCGCCGCGGCCGGGCGGCGCCAGACGCGGGAGACGCGGACGCGGGACTTGCCGTGCCGGCCCTGGAGCTGGAAGTTCTCGGCCATGGCCGCCGCGGGGATCTGATCTGTGATGCTGAGTGTGGCGCGAGTGCGATGCGATCGCTGGGTCTGGATTTGCGTTGCGCTTGCGCCGAGAGGGATTGGCCTTTTGTAGACGGACGTGGGAGCAAAAGTGCCGTGGGCTGTTCTCGCTCTGTTCGTTTACTGTGGCCCGTATTCTTGGCGTATCTGGATACGAAATGGATATGGATTGACGATATTGTCACCAAACGACATCAGTAGATACAAGCTCCAGTTGCCTACTGACTTGCGGGCCATTTTTGTCATCGACTCAATTAGTGTGTTCGACATTGGTTTTAATTTGATTGACTTATCGGTAGGTCAACGGTTGTTTGCTAGTTGGTTTACGGGCCGATAAGTCCGCCAAATCTTGATTCATTATGAGAGAGAAAATACGCGGGCAAATTGGATGGGCGATAAAGCCGTCATTTGAAACTAAAGTTTAACAAGTTGATTGAGTCGATGACAAAAATAGCCCGCACGTCAGTAGGCAACTGGAGCTTGTATCTACTGACGTCGTTTGGTGACAATGTCGTCAATCCATATCCATTTCCAGGAATCTTAGGAAATAATATCAATCTTTCAATATACCTCAAATTTTATAGTGTTTCGATTTTATATTAAGGTTCCGTAATTCTATGTAAAATTTCATAGTACTACAATTGTATAAGATACTACATAAATAACTTTCTAAATAATTTAGTTACGATAAAATACTATTTAAAGTTAAAGAACATTTGAAATATGAAATATATATATATATATATAAAGTCAAACAAATTAATCAAAATTAATATTATAGACTTAAATCTTTAACACGTACTTATTACAGTCTTATCTTATAATAAAATATAATTTAGAATAATAGAATCCTATACTATCATCATATCAGTTAGCAATCTTTGATGGTGACAGAGGCCGAACGATTCTTCGTGAATTTTGCCAAGAGAAGCCGTACGCTTCTTCCAATTCATCGTAAAGCTAAAAAGCTCTGCACCTCTCCGGGTTCAGCACTTTTTCATGGTTTCAGACTTTGGGCATGTTTTAATTCACCAGGGCTAACAGTTTAAAATTAGTACTAATATATTCAACGAGGTCTGCTAATAGATTAAATAACTATTAGCTAGAAGACTAGTTCCCTAGCAAGTTTAAGGATGCTAATAGGTGCCAACCATCAGTTAGTAACTTATAAAAAGGCAGGTCTAAACAGCCTTCTACTATTAGTTAACTAGCTAATAGTAAGTATTTCCTTCTATTCAAAATTATAAATGTTTTGATTTTCTATATACAAAGCTTTTGCTATACACTAGGCTGCAGCTGTTTGCTGCACTGTTTACTATACTATACCGCACTACTTTGCAGCAGCAGCAACGCCGCTGCCAGTAGTAGCAGCCAGCTGGGCCATACATTATGTCTAGATATACAGTAAAAGATGAAGATACCCTGTGAGGCCGCGACGAGTAGGCGATTGGGGACCACGTGACGCTTCTTCCTCCTCGCCGGCGCCGCCCCCATTGGCACCCGTCGCGCCTCCACCACCCGCAGCCAGCGGCTCCCACCGCCTCGCCACCCCACCCACCTCCCACCACTGCCCCTCGACCCTCCCTACTCTAATCACAGGGTTGCCAGCGGACTACTTTAGGGCGACGCCCCCGCCGCCCCAACGGGTGGCGCCCTGGCCGCCCCGCCCCGCCGTCGTCTCGCCCGCCACCACCGCGGTGTTGCGACCACCGCCCCACAAACCCTCTTCTACACCCGCCGATGGGTGAATCCCCTCCCGGAACCCTAACCCCGGCTCCGAGCGGCTCTTCTTCTTCCCCTCCGACGGGGCACGGATGGGTCGCGCGAGTACGTGAAGGCGCGACCCATCGCGTGTTTGAGTTTGCGATAGTAAAGCAATATATCTAGAAAAATGAAATGGTCTTATAATTTACAATAGATGAAATAGTTATGACATAGCTAACTATTAATGCCAGTGGATCTAAACAAACCCTTTCCAACTCCACCTGCCAAAAGAATGTAATTCCATGTTTTGAGCCGGTCAAAGTTTGTTAAGTTTGGCCAAGTTTGTAAAAAATAGTATCAAATTTATATTTCCAAATAAGTTTATTATATAAGTATATTCTATAAGTAATACAATGATATGTATTTGGTATTATAGAAAGTAGTACTTTTATATAGATTTAGTTAAACTTAAATTTGCTTGATTTCTCAAAAGTAAAAGTTATATATTTTTTGGAATGGAGGGACTACCATTTCGTATTTTGATCCTCGACCATTTTGGCGACTGAGGGTGGAATTTTATAACCTATATTAGTTTCTAAGATGTTGCTGTAAAACTTACGTAGTTGCAGTTGTACTGATATTGGCCTGAAACAAATGTTTGGAGTTTTAAATCCATAATATACCGCTTTACGTATCGTTTTTAAAGTGAAAAAAAACCCTGTACTGACCCGGCGGCGCGTCAAGGCTGAAGCGAGGACACTGGACAAGTTCGTGCAGCATGCTGCAGTTGAATTGAGCTAGTTCCCTGCTCAGCAGAGAACCCCAAGCACATGGTTTTCTTTTTGGACCCGCACCCTGTTTTCTGCAACAACTGCAGCCCATTGTTTTGCGCTTTGCTTGAGATGTGGGGTGGAAGGTATTTTTACTTCTGAACTATTCACGAGTGCTGCTTCCAACTGAGAAGTAAAATGCTGACGGATTAATTTACCCGTAAATAGCACTTGAGGCCAACATATGCTCAATCATCGGATGATCATTGACCCATGCTGATGTTATCAGGGACGCCATATACTAGTTCCAAACTACGCAAAACAACCTGGTCTTATTGCCGTTTGGAAACCGAGGCAGAAGAACACCAAAGAGAAGTTGTTGAAGGAGAATGCTGATGATGACCATGCCATTTGTATAGTATAGTACTTACAATCTTGAGGATACTGGAGCTTTTATACTACACACACACACACACACAAAGAGAGGATACTGGAGCTTCTCTGTAAATTCTGTGTGCTTCATTTTCTAGTTGGTCACTGTATGGATAGATTGTTTATATTAGCCTTAGCTTGCATTAAATCTTATGCAGCATTATTTAAGTTAGTATATAAACGTATTGTTCTGGTGCTTGGTTGTCTTGCACAGTCCAACTGATGTTCTGGTGCAGTCACCTCCATACTAGACTAGTAGAGGTCTCAATTTTTTATTTTTTATTTTGGAAACTGGGTAATGTATTACTCATGAGCTGACAAATCGTCAGCGACAATTACGTTCTGGGAGGGAGCTTAGGATTTGCTCGACTCCATCACACTCATACCCACTGGCAGATATTTCATGAGCCACCCTAGGGGTAGGAACGGTGAGAATATTTTATCTTGTCTTATCGGCTTGTACAAATTTATATATTGTCAAATTTGACGTACTCCCTCGGTCCTGAATAAATCAATTTTTAGAATTCGTATTAGTCAAATTATTTTAATTTTGATTAACTTTGTAGGAAAATGTAACAACACTTATGATATAAAATGAGCACATTAAAAAAAATATTCTATGGTGTATCTATGATACTAATTTTATGTTATAAATCTTAACGGATTTTTCTAAAAATTTGGTCAAAGTTTAAAAAGTTTGACTTAGGACAACTCTAAAAATCTAGTTATTCCAGAACAGAGGGAGTAACATTTTTTTTTTTGAAGAAAACAGAGGGAGTAACAGTTAACGTTACATTAAGTCTGCTTTGAGCATTATACCATCCTGCATAAGAATTTTCATGGACAACCAAGCACAAACAAACTACATTGCACAGACCTGAATACATGCAACATGCTAGTGGATTTAAGTATAGACTCATGCTATCTATTATTCCTAGACAAATGTTGGAAACGTGAAAAGTCATAAAAACATACTTTTGTGGTTTTGTTTTTCTGAAAAAAACTTGACACGTCGATAATTCATCCATATCTATTTTTATTATAAAAGTTGAGGTTCAAAATCAATTTTGAAAACAACAAACCGCATGCAGGGATGCACCCATCATCAGCATAGCCTCTTAACTTAGGCCATGTTTGAGATCGCTTTTGCAATTGATTCTCATGAAAAAAAGTAAGTTACACCCCCAAAACGCTACGCTTCTAATACATAAATCAAATACAAGAAATCACCAAACTATCCAGTAACGATTCACCTTACAAATAGGCTAGTCAAAGGTTTTGTGTACATACACAAACCTCAGCCCAGTCTTGCTTCTCTGTGTAAAACCTGAAAAGAATATATTAAAATCAGCTTATTCAAAAGTATAGTCAAACGAACAGATGCAATTACAAAATGCATGCGATAAAATTTCTGGACCATTGACAAATAAATATGCATGGAATGCTTCTTTACTGTTGAAATCAAACGTCTTTAGCAAGGGAGGTAACACTAATTAGCTTATTGTAGTCAGATGATAATTTTGACTTAACTAAGTCAAAGTTTAATCAGCCTACATGCCTGACAGAAAGAAAATTATGTTAGACTTCTAAATTATGTCTAATTGGATGAAAAGTTTCTATGTTTTTTTTTTGTTAACTATACTATATTAGATTGTGGCCTGAATTCAAGTTAGTGACATGACAAGTGGTTGACTTACAGCATAGTTCATGATAATGCATGGTATTTGTATAATTGTTGTCATCAATAAGAACAACAGAGATTATTTAAATTTCTAAATTAGCAATACTATAATTTTTTATTCATTTTTTCTGATCCAGGCTGTAAAAGAACATAAATCTTCTACCTCTTCAGCAAACTTTATCAGGATTGTCGTCCTTGGCCTTTGCTGACCTTCAATTGGCACAAAATGTGCAGTAACTACGGCAGGAAAGCCAGCATTATCTAATACACCCTACAAAAAGTTACAAAGTAATATTGATATATTGCTCCAGTAAAATGATAAGGTCAGTGGTCATGGTCACTAGTACTGGATTTCCACCTTTACAATTCCCGCAACAAAAGCTCCACAGTTGAATGCTCCCATGTCTTTTGGCACGGAAATGAAACTGTTCAAACAGAAAAGTATCGAACTTTAGACTTGTAGAAAAAGAAATGCATTATAAACTCCACGAAAGTTCAGAGACCGGTTAACAAGAAGCTCCTTTTCACTGATCATGTATTCATCCTCATGTTCTGTTCCCTTCTCAAGTGAGTCAGCCACCTGGCACATAATAAAGCAACTACGAGATTAACAAACAATCGTGTGAACAAAGTCCAGTCATAACAAGAATACCACAGGTTAACATTTACTGTCAACCATATTAACTTATTGAGAGGTATAAATTCTTATGTAACACAGCCATAAGAAGTTGGTTTACATGCGGAGACCAAACCTAAGCAAACTGACTTGAGAGAAATATCAACCCTGTAAAACTATTATCCTGCAGGTGCTTAGAAAACATGCAACCACCCATATTAACTTCTAACATGAGTCCAAGAGTACTCATTGCATGCTACTGCACTATAAGCATTATTCAAGATATCCTATTAAACATAATAATTCAGTCTTATCCTAAAGATGCTTGTACTAATGAGCATGCCTGGCAGTGTTCCAAAATGGCCTCCCTAATAAAGATTTAAGTGTTAATATATGATGACTGGTTAAACAGCAGGATCAGTTCGGTTAAGCCATATAGCCACCACCAGGCAGGTAATTAAATGAATATTACTAAAGCTTTTGAAACTACGGTATTTGGAAAGGGAACCGGATATTGTGCATATTTAAAAGTAGCGAGGCACAATGAGTGGTCACGCTAGTTATGCACAAAGTGGTATAAAGCAAGTGAGGGATAAGTTGTCATCTACGACCGTACAAGGAGATTTTGACATGTTTTGTAGTATATGAACATGTGTTGCCCATCTGACAGCTCAGAACAAATAGGTATGTTCTTGAACAGTTCCAGTTTTTAGGCTTATTGCCTCTACGTAAGTTCAATATAGTCATAAAAAAGAAGCACAAACTAAGAAAGTTACTTGGTCAATATACTTCTTGATGTGGTGTAGCTGCCATCAGGACATTACGTGCCACTTGAGTTTGGGGGTCCATCAGTCATCTAGTTCATGACATTAAAATTTTACAATCTAGGAATCATTGGTAGTAAAGTTTTATGAATACAAATTCTAATCACCCAACTGCGAGAATGGACATGAATCAGAAAAGACAGTCACAGGAAGGACATAATACCTTTCCAAACAACACTTTCCAAACAGTACTGTGGATGAATGATAAAATACCCAGAAGTCGTGTCTCTCGTCTATTTCCCTGAAGTAACAATCTAATTATCTTCCAGACATGACTACCTCAAAACGAGAAGAATATATATAATAACATGGAGATCACGTTTTTTTTAAAAAAAACTGTTCATTGCACATATTATACCAAATGAACCTTTTATCCTATAAAATTCAATAAAAAACAAAGAGCTGATGCAGTGACCCTACATTTGGTATTGTTTGATTAGTCCAAGAAAATCCATAACTATGTTATATGCTGAATGTACAGTGCTTGGATACTCATATATTATATGTATCAGATTTTAATTATCCAAACAAAATTATTTTTGTAAAAGGAAATATGACTATAAAAAATTATTTGCAAAAATGGAGCATCAAAATTGTTACAGTATTTTATAATGATCATTATATAACCAAGCAAACAAACAGGTATCAAACCTTCTCCCTGTGACAGAGTAGTTCAAGCACCCTTGCACCAACCGCATAACCAGCATCCTCCAGCCTGTGCATGAAATAAAACAAACAGGTGTAGCCCAGATGAATTTATAAATCAATTTACTGAAAGAGTTTATCTGATCTGGGTATAAGTTAGTAGCATCTGCAATAAGAGCTATACCCCATGTCCCAACATCAATCAAGGCAAGATAAACAAAGGCACATGATAGAAAATAATCAATCAACCGAAATACAAATACAACAAACAAGATCAGACAAGTATAAATACACAATAGAGATACCTCCGTTCCAGCTCAGTAATGTTGTCAACTTGAGTCTGGTTGTACTGAACCAACTCAGAGAACAAGAATGCAAATGCACTCAAACTGACCTACAAAAGGCAAAATACTCAATAAGCCTGTATGGTAAAGAAAAAGACCATGAGAGAAAGCAAACTTCCTAGAAAACCTAGAGATCACCAAGCATATCAGAAAAGCTTATCATATCTTTGACCTCTCAATTGCAAAATTTGGCAGGAACTAATTAACATCACCATAAAGAAATAATCATTTAATGCCTGGCCGTTAATAAGACCATCACCAGTAAACCTTGTACTACAAAAAATGTCATGGCTGGCAAAACATATTCCCGCAAAAAGGGAAAAATCTAAGGTTACAGGTTGAAATAAAAGGGTGGAACCACTCAGGCCCAGCGTCATAAAGTTTAGGTTTGACAGATTGAGTTGTAATTAGAATGGATTCTATCTATAAAGAATCAAGGAGTCAATTTTTGTTGCCCCTACAAATACAGAGAGAATAATCAAAGGTTAAGCTGAGTTTGGGTAATTCCCCTCAGCCTTCTCGTGTCCCCGCGCCCCCTTCTCCCAGTGGCTGCACGTAGCAGCCGCCTCTCATGTATCTCACCCACACGGTTACGTCTCAGCCCTAACCGAACCCTCCCCCCAAACTAAGCACATGAAAATTTGGTAGGCGAGCCAGCTCTATTTCCACTGCAATGGGGCCCAATTCTGATCTATACAACGAATGGCAAACTGGAGGAAGAAGATCAAAGAACACACGAAGCCTCTACTGGCATATGGCGCAAAAATCGAGCAGTAGATGAAACACGAACAAACCAACCACAACACCTCCAATCTATGTTCCACAGCCAAAAAGGGGAGTACATCACCAAAGGAGCCAATTCAGATAGATCAGCTTCTGGTGGAAAGTGAAACAACCTCAGATGGATGGGAAGGAATAACAAATTTGAAGCCAAGGACCAGGAGCCACGGTGTAAATCCAACGCGGCAATCAAAACTTGTACAAATTATTGTTTCCGGAGTACGATGATAACGACAACCCTGTACCCTGGCTATATAGATGCGGAAACTTCTGTTATATCTCAGAAAATGAAAAAAATATGTTGCTAACATTCTTCCACCTGACAGGTCACACCTTGGCATGGTTTATGCACCTAGAACGAGATGATACAACTGCTTCATGGTCCCTTTTTTTCTGCAACTAACAAATGCTTCAGACTTTCGGCAAGAAAGAACTCTCTGGGGCAATTGTCAAAAACTCAACAACTGGGATGGCAGGAGGGATATACAGATCAATTTCTAAACTAGATCTCTCAGGTAACAAATCTATGACTGGCCCAACAATTAATGCTATTCACAGAAGAATTAACAGATCTCTTGCGTCTCTCACATAAGTCAGGCTCTGCGGGTCAGCTGCCTTGCCACTGCTTGAGTAAAACTGATCAACAGTATTCCATCAAACACATCCGTGAAAATGCAACTACATCTCACGCCACTGCTCCCGCAGGCTGCAATACTTGCCTACAGACTACAAGCTACACCCCTAGTGCCTTCCTATTAGAGGAGTCTATGTGGGAGCAAGGAACTAGGATGGCGTTTGGTTGAGCTAAATGTAACGTAATCGGATTACTGAGGGGACCCGATGCCGATACAGCTGATTGGTTGGGTTTGGCGCGTAATCAGATAACGTCCTATTCATCACTAATACCGCCCATCCCCAAGCCTTTTCGGATTACGCTGCCGCCGCCCCACTAGAACGTCTCGAGCGCCTCCCTCTCGCGCACGGTGTTCCACCTGGCACCTGCGCACGATAGCGCTCTCGCCCGCGGTGTTCCTTCTGCACACGACGGCAGCCCCATGGATCCTTGCCGGTGACGCTCAGCCTCTCCTCTCTCTCCAATATGAATCATCGTCTCCTCGAGCTGCTGCACATGATGCAGAGGGAGATCTGATAACATTACGGAGTCTAACCAAACAAAGCAAGGTATCGCTGTTACGGCAACAAATATGCTGTGATCCGATTTCGTTTCCATTTGCATTACCATTCTACGAACCAAACAGCGTGTAGAAGGGATCGCCATCCCAGCGCGATGAGATGCATGGCAAAAAAAGATCGACATCTCGAGGACTAATCTAGGGAGGCAGTGCGCGCACAGATCCGATGGGAATTCAAGGCAGAGACAGCACATACCTCCTGCCTGCCACGGCTGAGGGGCTTGTCAAGTACGTTGGCGTACTGCTTCGCCTTCCCCACACCGATCATCTTGACAGCCCCTTCACGCTGCAGATAAATTAAGGTACAAGTTAGAACAGCCCATAATGAAAAATCCCCATACCATATTCAAATAAAATCGTGATAGCTAACAGGGGCGGATCCAGTAAAGGGACACGGTTGTACACATGTACACCCAATAATCTTTGCAAAAACATGAAGTTAGGAGACTTGTCAAATAGATAAATAGCTTTAGGTTAGGGTTTCGGTGCTCACCTTGAAGGGAATGGAAGAGAAGGGGGCGGATGGGCGGTGGGAGTACCTGATGCAGTGCTCGTCGCCGGTACCTGGCTTAGGGCGGCGGGGCGGCCCACCAGTCGTCGGAGAGCGAGAGGGGGCGAGAGAGGCAGACAGAACGCACGAGTAGGGATGCAGCGGACGGAAGGGGAATCGCACGTTGACGGCGTGAAAAAAAAACACCCAATGGGCTTTCTTCTGGGCGTTTTTTTTTCAAATTTCTTTAGAAATTTCTGTTTTCTTTATTTTTCTTTCTCTCCCTTTTATTTTAAATTTTTTATTTTTGTTGACTTCATATGTCTTCTCGTCATGGGACACCATAAATGGCTAGTACAACATTTGTTATAACGGAAATAATATTGATATTTATGAGTATATAGTAAATTGTAAATAAGTAAATGGAACTTTTATATTTTATTAAGGCTTAATATTTTCCTATAGAAGCTAGAAGCCATTTTCACAAGAACATATAACAATTTCAAGTGTTAAATGCACCAGTGGCTTCTTAACTCCGAAGCATGTGTCACGTAGGTCCATTAACTTTGAAAATGCATTTTTAAATCTTTGAAGTTATTAAGTGGTGCACCGCATGTCCAGTTATGTGAGCATTTCTTGTTGATGTAGCATGCTAACATGGCATGTAGTTTTCATTTAACCCCTTCTATTTATTTTTCTCTTGAAAATAGATCCTCCCTTCTCCTCGCTCTCCCCTCTCACGGCGGCATTGAGGTCACTCGCCATCGTGTCGATACAGAGCCAATCAATCGATGTTGTATTGTACGCCAAAACCAACGGAAGGACCCATAGCAAATTATCTACTAGTTTGTTCATCGATCAATCCAACTAGGCGGTGCCGCTACCGCACGTGGGGATTTTTTTTATTTATAACCCTTTTTAAAAAATAATTTCTAAAAATAACACCCCCAAAAATGTATTTCTAAAAGCCAATCTCCCTCGTGCGGCCAAACGCCTATGACGCTCCAGCCCGCTTGGTGCGGTTGGCCTGCCACCATGGCTGGTCAGCAACACTCTGACCGGATGACATGGCAACCGACACAACCCTGCCGCGCCACCCCGGCTGGCGCGGCATGGGGGATACAGAGCCTAACAAAACCAACTCATAAATGTATTAGTTTAGATGATTCATCACAAAAATTAATAATGGATGAAAACATGAAATTGATGAAAACAAATTGATATCTCATTTCCATGATTAAATCCATAACATAATTGATGAAACACATGAAATTGATAAAAAAACACTAACAGTGAATCAATAAAATACAATCGATTATTCAACGAAATCACAAAAATGGTAGGAATGTGTCAATGCAACATAAGTACCACTTGCTTAGTTTGAAATAATGGAGGTAACTTTTTCACTCGAGGCTTCAATTCTTTTAAATGGTATAAAATATCTTCAACTTTGATGCTTGCAAAGACCTAATCAATTAATCATTTATGGAATTTTTAGATTGGGAAGTTCAACATTGTGCAGCTCTACGAAATTGGACCTATCATTTTTTGAATTGTTAGATCTAGGATTTCAAAACTAAATTAGAGCTTAGATTTGAGAATATGGAATTTACCTAATTCAGAACCAGCCTGAAGTTAAGTGTCTACACCGCCCCTGCCCAGTGTCGATGGCGGCGTCCTGTGCCGCTGTGCAGCAGTGTCCACGTGGTCACGTCGTGAGTGCACGATGCCGGATCACCACTTGCCGCCCAGGCACCTAGGCGGCCAATGCGGTGTGTCTGTCGGCCGTGACCTGCGGCTAGCCGCCCAACGCGGCAGTGCACAAGTGCCCAAGCCTCCGTGGGGGCCGTGAAGACCAGAGGTCCAAGACCTCCCTTGGTGGCCTGGCAGCGACGAAGAGCCTGGAGATCCATGTCCACCGGTGGTGAACGGCGGCTAAGGCCTGAGGAACGAGGAAAAGAATGGAGGAGATTGGCAGACTCACGTTCTTAGGGTCGGTGGAAGTGTTTGCGCTCCTCTAGGCTGGTTGGGAGTATATTGATTTTTTTAAATGGAAATATGGTTCCATTACTCAATGATCGCACTCTCGACGACAACCATGGTCTGAATACAAATTGGGAGCTGATTCACAATCGGATCATCATCCTCCCCACACACACATCCTATAAAGTAATCTGCTGCTCTCACATCTATGTATGCGCGGCAGGGGCATGCGCTGTAGCTGCGGTAGGGGCAGGCGCCAAAAGGCTTTCCTGCTACACTGTAGCCACAGCAGGGGCAAGCGTTAAAGTCAGCCCTGCTGTCATATCTAGTCACTGTAGTAGCCTGGTAGCCTGGCATGTCTGTGTACTATGATTAGATGGGTAGAGTTGTATATATAGCTTCACACTACAACTCAGTAAAGAGAGCGAGTTCAGTTTTGCCATCATCTCTGAAGAGCTTTGGCCAACGCTGGTGCTTGTGCTGTGTATGTGTGCGCTTTGTTCTTCCTCCCTCTTCTATCTCCAACCATAGTGTGTGTGCGAGAACACCGATGACCGGTCGGCTCACCCATGCGGAAGATCCTGAGCCCAACAAGTGGTATCAGAGCCATACAAGCGTCGTTGTCGGACTAACCGCTGACGATAACGGACGGTTTGGAGATGGGCAACAGCAGCAGCGCTGCTGTGGCTGCCCAGCCATGACAAGAGGTCGTCGTGCGCACGGTGCCGGAGGTCAGCGGCACCAGTTGGCCGACGCTGATTCGCACCAACTATGGCGAGTGGGAGGTGACCATGAAGGTCAAGCTCAGAGCCCGATGGCTCTGGAATGCCATTGACAAGGGCACCGACAACGAAGAAGACGACATATTAGCGTTGTAGGCTATCCTCGCTGCTGTGCCAGCGGAGTACAGGGAGCTGCTGGGGCGAAGAACTCTGCTAAGGAGGCGTGGGAGGCCATTGCAGCGATGTGCGTCGGCCCTAACCGCGCAAAGAAGGCGACGGCCCAACTGCTAAAGCAGAAGTACTCCAACCTCAAGTTCAAGGATGGTGAGTCGGTAGAGGACTTCTCCCTCCGCCTACAGTCGCTCATCAGCAAGGTGAGGAGCCACGACGTCACCATCGACGAAGAAGAGACGGTCTTCAAGTACCTCCACTCCGTGTCGGTGAAGTACATCTAGATTGCTCTCTCCATAGAGACGATGCTAGACTTGTTCACCCTCACCATTGAGGATGTGATAGGCCGTCTGCGGGCGGTGGACGAGCGCATGGGGTAGGCCACCGCAATGACGGACAGCGGCAAGCTACTACTGACAGAGGAGTGGGCTGCCCGAATGAAGGAGAAGAAGTCCAGGGAAGCCTCCTCCAGCCATGGTGGCGATGGCAAGCGCCGCAGCTAAGGCTTCTTTAGAGAAGAAGAAGAAGGTCGACCCCAACGCCTGCTGGCGCTATGGAAAGACGGGCCATTAGGCAAAGGAGTGCCCAAATTATAAGCAGGAGAAGAAGGCTGAGGCTCATTTAGCACAGGCTAATGAGGATGATGAGGCCACTCTCCTGATGGTGACGTTCTGTGCACTGCATGACATTGAGGCCAAGGAGAAGGGAGAGGTGATGGTGGTGAAAGGGCATGGCAAGGCTCTAAAGGCTATTAACCTCGATGAACCGCGTGTCCAAGTCCACCTCGAATGTGTGGGCGACGAGTAGGAGCAGCAGTGGTACCTGGACTCTAGTGCCAGCAACCACAAGGGTGGCAATCCGAGGGCGTGGCACCATCATCTTCAGGTGCCAGAATGGCGAGCACCACACGCTGACGGATGTATATTACATCCCACAGCTATGTTCAAGCATCACCAGTATTGGCTAGCTGGATGAGTGCAGCAGCGAGGCACTGATCAAGGACGGCGTCCTCAGGATCAGGGACCGGGAGCAGCACCTTCTTACTAAGGTGAAGAGGTCCTGGAACCAGTTGTACCTGCTCAATTTGAAGGTGGAGCAGCCGGTGTGCCTGGCAGCACGGCACACTGAGGAGTCGTGGTTGTGGTATGCCCGGTTTGGCCATCTTAGCTTCGACGCGCTCGGTCGACTGGAGAAGATGGTCCGAGGGCTGCCCCACATCAAGCACGCAGGCGAGCTGTGTGACAGTTGTCTGGCTGAGAAGTAGAGGAGGTTGGCATTCCTAAATGCGGCCAAGTATCGCGCGGCAGACACTCTTGAGCTCGTCCACGGCGATCTCTGCGAGCCAATCACGCTAGCCACAAACGGTGGTCGGCGGTACTTCCTCCTGCTCGTGGATGATTGTAGTCGCTCTATGTGGCTGCAACTCCTGATGAGCAAGGATGAGGCGGTGGAGGCGATCAAGAAGTTCAAGGCACGCGTGGAGGCGGAGAGCGGCAAGAAGTTGCGCGTGCTGTGGACTGATCGCGGCGACGAATTCACTTCGGTGGAGTTCGCTGCGTACTGCACGGGTCAGGGTGTGGTGTGACACCACACCATGTCGTACTCGCCATAGTAGAATGGCGTGGTGGAGTGGTGGAACTAGACAGTGGTCGGCATGGCTCGATGCATGATGAAGGCCAAGAGCATGCCGGTAAGGTTCTGGGGTGAGCCGGTGACCACAGTGGTGTTCATCCTCAACCGCGCGCCCACAAAGGCCCTGAAGGGCGCAACACCGTTCGAAGCTTGGTATGGGCGCAAGTCGAGCATGTCCTTCCTTCAGACATTTGGTTGCATCGGCCACGTCAGGAAGACGACACCGGTCCTCACCAAGCTGGAGGACAGGAGCACACCGATGGTGCTCCT